CTGAAACAGTAGGCAGACCTCTGCACCAAACTCAGGATCACGGGTCTTTGGTCTGAAACAGACTGCGTCACACAAGCTTCAAGGAATGTTGCAAAATATGTAATTTAAGTAAATGTGTGTGTGTTACTGGAAGGGGAGGAAGGTCGGGATTTGGGTGTAGACTTGTAATTTGCCTGACTTATTGCAGGCAGGGCCTATATTAAATTGTACCGCTGCACTTAAGGCATATTATTTGTTATGCATTTTCAAGTTATTGCAGGGGGGCTGGTGTGTTAGGAACAGGCGCCCCTCTTCTAGCAATGTTCAGGAGGAGTTTTCTATGGAAATTGGGAGAGAAACATCAGTGGGAACTGGGCCCACAAAGTTCTTCAAATCCCCCCTGCACTCCCATACATCTCACTAAATAGGCTGGAATTTTCTAAGGAGTTTAAGGTAGTTTGGTGCCAAAATCCCACCAAAAGTCATCCCAAGAGACTGGAGTTGGGAGGGAAACTGGAAATTCCTTCCCATGGAAAATTCCACATTTCTGGCAGAGAGAGAGAGAGAGAGAGAGAGTGTGTGTGTTCCAAACAGGAATTAATGGTCAGTTGTGCGATACTTTCCACGGGAGGGATTGTTTTTAAAAAAATCAATTTTGGAAGAATTTTGCAAAAAACATCCAGTCCCACCTCCCCAGCTCCCTGGTATCCCACTGCGGGCAAACGTCCAAACAGGTGGGAAGCACTGGAAGATCCTGCTCCCCACTGACACAATGCTGAGGACCTGGGAGTCTAACAACTCAGTCTCCTGCGCAAGTCACCACGGGGGCTGCTGAGGAGCCAGGAAGGCAGGCAAGTGGGTAGGAGACCAGGTAAGTTTCCATCCAAACTTTTGTCAAAATAGACGCAGCCCTGCAGAATGTCTTGATTTTTGATGAATCGCCAGGAAAAATGGCCTGTCGAAAAATTTCTGCTTGGATCCATTAGTGGAATGCATCCGATGAAGGGAGCTGTAGCTCACGAAAGCTCATGCTCAAATAAATTGGTTAGTCTCTAAGGTGCCACAAGTCCTCCTTTTCTTTTTGTGAATACAGACTAACACGGTTGCTACTCTGAAATTAGTGACTCTGTAACACACTGGTCAGTACGTGTCACAGGTCGCTGCCTGCGCCTGCTCCACAGAGGATCTACGTCTGTTACACCCTTCGCTACAAAGCTTGGCTCTTCAGCTCAAGCCCATGGCCGTTTATGCGTCTTGTTCTGGACATTCCTTGGCTCGTAAGAACATACGAACGGCCATACTGGGTCAGAACAAAGGTCCTTCAAGCCTAGTATCCTGTCCTCTGACAGTGGCCAATGCCAGGTGCCTCAAAGGGAATGAACACAGGTTATTATCGAGTGATCCGTACCCTGTCACCCAATCCCAGCTTCTGGCAAACAGGCTAGGGAACCATTCCTGCCCATCCTGGCTAATAGCCATCGATGGACCTATCTTCCATGAATCTATCTAGCTCCCTTTTGAGCCCCGTCCTAGTTTTGGCCTTCACAACACCCTCTGGGAAGGAGTTCCAGAGGTTGACAGGCTCAACTCCTGGGGTGTCAACCAAGACAGCAGCTGTCACACCTCCACTGGGACACCCAGCGGAAATAAACACACACCTCTTAATGCAAGGACTGTTGCAGGACAGGCAAATCTCTAGGAGTCAGGTGAGGATTCACAAACAACCAAGTAGAATTTCACAAAACAGCACATTTATTGGGTGAGGATGAGGAAGATGAAGGAAAACCTTAGATCCGCATATCCCACAAGAGAGAGAGCTTCTCCCATGCTACTTAAAAAAAAACCACCACCACAAGTCGGTCAATATATTACATATAAATATAAACAGAATTCAGGCACAAATGAGACAGATACGGTACATACATGTTATTACAGACCAAATGTCATAACTCAGAGCATTTGCCCAGAAGCTGCGGTCAGTTTCTATGCACTCAGCGACTGCAGTAGCAGGATCATTTATGTTCCTGACAAAGCAACGGGGTTTAATTTCCAGTTATAAATAGAGGCAGAAACAAAGGAACTCGCACTGTTCCATCCTGTTACTTTTCTCTCTGTGTGGTTTCCCCCATCCTTCCTTAGCATTTGGTTCAGACCCGGAAGAGGAGCCCAAATGTGAACTATCCAACACTTAATTTACCTATAAACAGCCAGGGAGAGAGAGAAACAGCCTTTGTCTGACAGAAAACCTGGTTTACACCTTTGCCAGTGACCCCCTACCTAGACACAGACATGGGGACCATAATGGTCAGTGTTTACACAGAACTGCTTGCACAGCAGCCGTACGTGTTTCACAATGATGCTGGTGACCAGTGTGACGCACGCTTGAATTTGAGACCTCACATGATGCTCTTTGGTGAGCTAGAATGCTCACACCCCTGGGCTCCCACTCTGGCCCCTTTGGCAGGTGGCACTAAGGGGTCCCTGGATCACACTGCGCGTCCATCATGGGACAGTCCAGGGGTCATCTAGAGAAGAGAAGCAGAATGACAGGGTCCCCTACGCCCTATGAAACAAAAATAATAAGATACACATGCCCTAAGCCCCATGGCTTAGCCTAAAACCATTGGTTTCCAAACTTTTTTCATTTGCAGAGCCCTACAAAATTTCAAATGGAGGTGTGGACCCCTTTGTAAATCTTAGACATGGTCTGCAGATCCCCAGGGTTCCACGGACCACAGGTTGAAAACCACTGTTCTACGGTAACAATATCTTTTGCGGACCCCTTAGACATAATCTACGGACCGCCAGTGGTCCGCGGAGCCCAGGTTGGAAACCACTGGCTTAGACAGTTAGAATGAAAGTCCAGCAACAATATCCTCATTGTTTTCTGGTTCTCTCCCTGATTGTTGTCTTGCACTTAGATCGTAAACTCTTTGGGGCAGCTTTTTGTTACATGTTAGTATATTATTATTTATTGGTATTACAAGTAACACTTACCCCCAGTCATTTAACATCAACAATGGAGTGAAGCCGGGTTGCGTAGTGGCTCCTCCATTGTTTAATATTTACTTCCCATTCCTGCTTGAACGTGCGTTCCGTGGTGTTCGAGAGGGTCTCTGTATTAGCACTAGACATGATCGAGATTGGTTTAACGATGCACGGTTCAGAGCTAAGATGAAGCTGAAGGAGATCATCATAAGGGACCTGTTTGCAGATGATGCAGGTCTTGTGGCTCACTGTGTTGATGTCCTGCAACAGCTTATTACCAAGTGCTCTGATTCATGCAAAATCTCTGAGCTAGCAATAAGCTTGAAGACTGTTATCATGCCTCGAAGTTCTTCAGAATCAGTTCCAGATATCACCTTAGAGGGTATTCGTCTGGATGTTGTGGACCAGTTTTGCTACCTTGCCTCTACTGTTACCAGCAATGTAGATCTTGATGCTGAGCTCACTAACAGAATCAGCAAAGCAGCCGGGAACTTTTGTCTTTTGCAAGACAGAGCCTGGAACAGTGACAAATGGTCAATTAAAGTGAAAATCCGTATTTATAAAATGTGTGTATTATCCACTCTTCTATACGACTCAGAAACATGGACGACTTACACCAAACATACCAGGAGGACTAACCAGCTTCCATGTCAGATGCTTGAGCAAAATTCTTCAAAGAAGATGGCAAGACGGGGTGACAAACGTGGAAGTGCTAACTCGTGCTGGTATGTCATTTATGGGAACGTTAATTAGTAAGAAAGGACTCAGGCAGCTTGGTCGTGTCACACGAATGCCGGATGACAGGATCCTGAAGTTTGCAGTTCTTTGACACTCGCAAAGCGTTTAGAAAGAGGCAGATTCCGGGATGCTTGCAAAGCTGACTTAGTGTCCTTTGGAATCTCGCTGGATGATTGAGAAAGGAATGCAGAATGCCGCGCCGGTTGGCAGAGGCAGCTTGTAGATGGAGCGAGGCGGCCTGGATCAAGCTTTCCGATGCCCGGCATCGGAGGAGGAAAGAATCTGCTACTCGGATTCAGAGCATTGCTAACGTGTGGGTGTGTCGTACCTGTGGACTGGACTGTCACTCGCCCATCGGACTCAGCAGCCATCAGAGAACTCACCGGCGCACATACCATGCTCTGTAAAGAGGGACGGTGCCATTGTATTTGTACTCCAGTGGCACTTAGCCCCAGTCATGGAGCAGGGCTCAGTTGTGCTAGGGGCTGTACAAACGCAGAATAGACAAGCGTACGACAAACGACAACAGGTACAGCACATGGTAAGAGTACGGTATTTTACAGAGTCTAGCACAATGTGATCGCTAAGTATCAAACATTAAAATAATAATTTGTAATTCGGTCTCTAGGGGGCAGTCCCGTACAGGGGATGCTGGTATGACAGTGTCAAAGGGGGCTGCTCAGTGAAGTTAATGGGGCCCAGAACCTCACAGGTATTGCAATTCTCATCTCCCACCTTTGACCATCTAGTCCTGTGAGTTTTTCCAGTAATTTCAATAAGCTTTGGATCAGAACTTCTGTCAGGCTCCTTTTTGGCACCCCCCACAGAGTGTGGTGCTCGTTAGTGCTGTTATAACGAATGCCAGTCTCGTTATCTGTTTCTGGGAGAGTCCCTCTCGTGCTAGTCAGGAATCTTTTGATAAAGCCGCTCCTTGTTTGAAAATGCCGATTCAGTGAACGCAAACCCTTTTGCAGAAACAGAGCTTGTTTGGTGAAACTTTCCTTGGGACGAGTTCTCACAGCCAGGCCAGACTATGTGAGAATAGCCTGGGGGTCAGGGCCCTCACCTGGGATGTGAAAAACCCCCGGTCAAGTCCCATTCAGAGCAGCGACTTACTTGTATCTCCTCCCTCTCAGGTGAGTGCGCTCACGGTTGGGGGAGTGGGTTGCTCTCGGCTTGTTTGGGAAATTGTGAAATGGTTTCATCCCAATTTGGGACAGAATTTTTTTTTTTTTTTTTTTAAATATCAAAATTTTTTGTGGGATGGGAAAACTATTTCCTGCCCAATGATACACAGGCTGCCCTGCATAAGGCACTTTCCAAACACCAAAGGCACTCTGTGTCCTGAGACTGTAAGCAATTCACAACAGGGAATCTAAAACATTTATCTACAAATCAATAGACCAGATCAGAAACTTGCCATCAAAACATTTTTTGAAACACAAAATGCCTTTTTTACAAAAAATATTTCCCCATCCCTCCCTCCCGACATGGGGAAAAGAGTTTTTAGAAGTGAGAGGAAGTAGGATTGGTTGGTTTATTTTTCCTCCCACCAAAACAAAGATTTATTTACTTGTCTATTTTAAACACCAGAGTAACCCAAAATGGGAGGCCTGGCTTAGGCAGGAATTATTTTGGAGCAGTTCTCTGGCCTGTATCGTGCAGGAGGTCAGACGACATGACCACAGTGGTCCCTTATGGCCTTGGAATCTATGACTCATGTTCAGTTTTCTGTTTGTGTTTTCTGTTTGCTTTTTGCTTTAGTTTCTGCTCCAAGCTAAGGACCTTCAGGTTTCCCTCAACCATTGTGACAGCTCCCCTTGTGACACTTAGGGCACATTTTCAGAACAGCTCAGCTCATTGTATATGGTGTCGGTGAGCCCGACATTGGAATCGTACATCCAGTTCTGGGGTCCATGTTTTTTAAAAGGTTGAAAAGTCACACAGGGTGCAGAGAAGAGCTTCCACAATGACTGAAAGGTTGGACAAAGTTGCCTCATAGTGAGAGACTTAAGGAGCTCGATCTGTTTAGTCTGACGAAAAGCAGATCAAGAAGGGCCTTTGATTACAGTGTGTAGGTCTTTTCATGGGGAGAAACTGCTAGCTACTAACTACTAGCGCAAACAACTAGCTCCTCAACCTAGCAGAGAAAGGCAGAACAAGAACTCACGCCTGGAAGATAAGTCAGACGACATGCTTCAATCAGAAATACGACACACACTTTTCACAAAGAAAGAGACTAACCACTGACACAAACTATCAAGGGAAGTTGTGGATTTTCTATCTCTTGATGTCTTCATATCCACACTGGATGCCTTCCTGGAAGATAGACTATAGCCAAACACAAGTTGTTGGGCTCAATACAGGGGGAAGTGGGGGAAGTTCTCTGGCCCGTGCTAGGCAGGAGGCCAGACTAGATGATTTAATGCTCCCTTCTGGCCTTAAACTCCATGAATCTATTGAAAACCTGGCCACTAATTCTGGTTCCTAACTGGGAGTCATTATGGGTTATTCTGGTATTTACACAGCCTAGGGGAAGTGACTAAATGCTTTCAGGAGCTCTCCTGACCCAAACAATCTTAGCTCACAGCAATGAATTAAATGCAGATGATGAGAGATGATAAGTTTCTCCCATTCACAGTTGTAGTCACAATTTAAAATAAATAAATAAATAAATAAATAACTTTCAGCATTGCAAAAAAAAATCCTGGAGAAAACACGTTTTAAAAAATGTTTCTTGTCAAATTGTGATCAGATCTACTCAAAAACATATTAAAAAAAAAAAATAAAGTTCGTAAGAACAGCCATATAGGGTCAGGCCAATGGTCCAGCTAGCCCAGTGCTCTGACTTTCAACAGAAGCTGGTGGCGGGTGCTTCAGAATGAATGACCAGAACAAGGCAATTATCAACTGATCCATCCCGTGTCCCAGCTTCAAGTGATGTTTCCAAGATCCACTGGCTACTTCTTACCCTGACTTTGGTTCAGTGTCTCTTCGGCCTTTTCCCAAGTGTAAGGGTCTGTATCCTACACTCAGGGTCTTTGTGTCCCTGAGGTAGCTGCAGTCCAGGGTACAGGGCTGTTCACAAGCTCTTTGAACACTAGTGTCCACTTCCCATCTAACCTTGATCCCACCTCCCTCACTGAGCAACACGGAAAGGGCGGGGGAGGTCGCAGCTAGAGCTGGGCAAATAATGGATTTTTTGCAGTTTGCTGGAAATTCCAACAAATCAAACAAAAATTCGGTTTCAGATTGAATCAAAACCAATTTTTTTCCCCAAAAATTCTCATTGCATTGAACAGTTAAAAAAAAAATTGAAAAAGGTTTCATTTTGATTTTTAAGGTTTAAATTTTTGAAAACAAAAATTAAAGGAAATCATGAAATAAAAAGCCATTCTCAGTCAAAAAGTTTGCTTTCAAAACCAGGAAAATGAAACGTTCAGCTTTTTTTTTTTTTCGGGGTGGTTTTTTTTTCAAATCAATTTGGCAAAGATTGACACAAATTCACATTGTTTTGGTGACACAAGATCTGCATTTTTTGCCTAAATAAATAAAACAAACAAAATAAATAAAATACATAAAAGGATTTGCTCAAAAAATTTCACCTAGTTCCAGCTGCGACCAAAACGTATGACCTTTAGATTTTGTTAATCCAGTTTTGTCAAACCCAAGCACTCAAAAATCCCCCCAAAATCATGACTTTTTTTAATACACGGGGTGAGGGGCTCGGCTCTTCGGGAGCGCCTCGGAGTAGAGCTGCTACACCTCTGGATTGAGAGGATCCAGCTGGGGATGCCCCCGGGCAGGCTTCTTTTGGAACTCAGTAAGACCACGTACCACTAGGAGGAGGCCCTGAGGCCCCCCCAGAACAGGCTGGAGGGATTATATCTCCCGGCTGGCCTGGGAATGCTTGGGAGTTCCCCAGGAGGAGCTGGAATCTGTCGTGGAGGAAAGGGAGGTCTAGCCCGCCCTACTCTCCATGCTGCTGCCGCAACCCTCACCAAGAAAAGTGGCATAGAGGAAACAGAAAGAAAGAAGTTAGTGTCATCACTAGGTTCCAGAGTCAATTAATTAAATGGGGCATTTTTCTGAGTTATTGTTTCAAGCTCTCTGCTGACTCAGGCTCTCTTTGATTTGCCAGGGCATATTGATAACCAAGCAAGCTAGAAACATACTCTTTTTTAAATAAAATTCTTCATAATCTAAATAATTTATCCACTTGGCGTATTAAGGGAATATTAGATTTAATATTAAGTCATCTCTTGCAGAGCATCCTCTACCTCTCCAACCATTGCTCCCTCCAGGCCCCTGCTGAAAAACTCTCCTCACAACACTCGACTACACTGACTCGACTACACAATAACTCCAGGGCCTGTGTCCAGTAGTACCACGGCAACGGAGAGATGGTGTTGTCGAGTTAGTGTAGTCGAGCATTGTGAGGAGAGCTTTTCAGCAGGGAGCGGGATGGAGCAATGGCTGGAGAGGTAGGATGCTCCCCAAGAGATGATGAATGTGTAAGTTCTGCATCCACGGAAGAGGCTGCATTGGCCCTTTAAGTGATCTTAGCCATCGTGTCCCCTCCTGCGGCGCTTGGCTTCCTTCTAGAGCACTCGTCCGGCTGCTTGCAGATGAAAGGTCTCTCTGAGTAGCACCGGGAGCTGCTGACCCCATTTTCGTTCAGGTAGGCGCACTGCCCTTCCCCTCTGACCAGAAACCTGCAACGAGAAGCAGTGTGGGGTTATCAGCCAGCTTCCATTCCTGCTCACGTACAGGGAAGCGATGTGGTCCAGCGGTGTATGATGCAGGGGAACTGGGTTCTCAACCAGGCTTTGCTACTAATCAACCCTGAGCTAGTCACTTCTAGCTGTAAAAGTCACAGTGGATGCTGAGCACCTGGAAATCAGGCTCACAGAGAACAGGCAACAGAAGTTGTCAAGCCTCTTGCAGGATTTTCCCAGTGTATGAGGGGACATAGGCCTGCAAGGGAGTTCCTGGGTCCCAGCCCTACTCCGGCAGGCAAAACCAGCATATCGTCCTGTTCGTAGACTTCGCAGGCTCTGTATTCTATCTAGTTAGGTGGTTTTCCCCCACTGCTCTGACGGGGAGGCTGCTTCAGAACCTCCCTCTTCTGATGGGCAGAAATCTTCTGCTAATTTCCAGCCCCAAATTAATTCCTGGCCAGTTTATCCCTGTGTGATCTTGTGACAACATTGTCCTTTAGCTTCAGTAGTTCTTCTCCCTCCCAGGTGTCTACTCCTGAGGTATTTACAGAGAGCAATGAGATACCCTCTCATCTTGCTAGCCTCAACCAGCCAAACTCTTTCAGTCTCCTCTGACAAGAGACACTCTCCATTCCCGGGAGCACCCTAGCTGCACTTCTCTGCACCTGATCCAGTCTGAGTGTGTCTTTCTTGAATATAGGTGAACAGAACTGGACACATTAGTGCAGCTAGACTGGAAATCAGGCAGTACCTCAGGGTAAGCAAACCTCATAAGAACGGCCATGCTGGGTCAGACCAATGGTCCATCTAGCCCACTGTCAACAGTGGCTGGTGCAGAATGAACAGAACAGGGCAATTTTCAAGTGATCCATCCCCTGTCGGCCATTCCCAGCTTCTGGCAAACAGAAGTAGGGACATCCAGAGCATGGGGTTGCTTCCCTGACCATCTTGGTTAATAGCCATGGATGGACCTGTCCTCCCGCTTTCCCTCTCAGACTCGCCTCTTCCAGCAACTTCTCCTTTCTCCCAATATCCTTTTGCTGCCCCACCTGCCCCGCCCCCATTATCTTCTCCCTGTGGGTCTCCCAAGCCCTCCCCCACACTTTCCATCCATTTCCTCTGCCTCCCCTTCTGCCCCAGGCAGCCAGAGCCCAGCTGTGCTAAGCAAGGCCCTCACGCGGCTACTGAGATGCTCCCCCACCGAGCTGCCGCATCTTCTGTCCTGTCCCGTAGCCATAGTGACTCCGCTTGGTGGCGTGTCATTGTGTATGAACGATGGGATGTGCTTGTGAATGATTTAGGGGGACCCATTTGCACAGAGGTGGGTGACAAACGGAATTTCCATCCTGAGGGAAATTCTCATGTTTCGGGACAAAAAGTCAAAATATTTAGATTTCCCACAGAACAGAAATTCTCTTTCCCCCCCAAAAAAAAAAAAAGATTTAGGTCAACCCAAAATGAAACACTTTCATTAGCTAGACTGCGGGGCTGATGCCTGGCATCATGGTAACTGTAGTTCTTGGTTCTTCCGCCCCTGTTCTCTCCTATAGGTCCTGATTCCCAGCTGGACTACATCTCCCATGACGCACTGCAGTGTCTTCCTACCACCAAAATACCACATAAGAACGCGCATGAGTGAGACACTGCAGTGCACCATGGGAGACGTTGTCTGGTCAAAGACCGGGGCAAATGGAACCAGAAGAACCCAGAACTACAATTCCCATGATATGCTGCAGTGGCCCCACGGGCAAACCAAAATGAAAACGTTTCATTCTGGGTTGACTGAAAATAAACATTTGAGTCAATTTCCGCAATGGAAAAATCTCATCCAAAGTGACCTTTCCCTGCAGGAAATTTTGCTTTCGACACAATCAGATTTTCCATAAGGGAAAACTTTGAGTGGGAATTTTTCCAACCAGTCCCACTTGTGTCATCCGCATTAACCGAGTGGGGCTCTCTGTCTGCCTCTGGTGCCTACGCTATGGAAGAGCGTCTACAAGTCTCTTACAGGTGCAACCTCCACAGGCTTTTAAGATCCTGAGGTCTCGCTTCCAATCCCTGTTCTCCACCCAGCCCAGGGTTTTGTTGCATTTGTCTGCGCCCTAATACCGAGAAAGCGAATAAGGAAAAAGGACGCACAGGTTGTTGAATATGGTACCGTTGGTCCACTTCCAGGGCTGGCCCAGGCCTTGCTCCCTCTGGAGGCCAATCCAGCGGTAAGGGATCTCCCTATAGCGCAGCGTGAAATTCTGTGGATAAGAACACACACATTATATCCTTATCTGTATTACAGCCACCTTAACAGGGATCAGGGCCCCCATGTGCTAGGTGCTGTACACGCGAAGAAAGCTGGTCCCTCGTGTTAGGATATAGATATTCAGGCCTATCTGTAAAGGCCTATACTCTAAGAATTTAGGTGTATTCTTATCACTTAGCTAGTTATAGAGGTATAAAAGAAAGAATCAAAATCACTGTCTGCCGGTGTAAGGGCCTTCTCTCACTGCGACAGTCTGAGGCCCTGTTCTTAGGCTAAGGCCTTTGGCTAAGCAACAGAGGCAGCTATAAGCTGGGAAGCGACAGGTCACCTCCTCACATTCCAAACTAGTCACATTGAAAGAAGGTGCTATTGGGCTGTTAGGAATACAATCCTGTCCTGATAGTGCCTATCGCCTCCAGAGGAAGGGAAGTGCCTAGAAGATGTAAAAGGAAACTTAGTTTGATAGCATCCTGTCTGGCAAGAACTCACTTATCAATAGCCGGGATGTGAAATCCTCACTTCTGTATTGTTCTATCACTGTAGTCCCCATTTCTCCATTGTTTGTCTGTATAATCTCTGTCTGGTTCTGTGATTATTTCTTTCTGCTGTATAATTAATTTTGCTGGGTGTAAACTAATTAAGGTGGTGGGATATAATTGGTTAAATAATCATGTTACAATATGTTAGAATTGGTTAGTTAAATTTCAGGAAAATGATTGGTTAAGGTATAGCTAAGCAAAACTCAAGTTTTACTATATAGTCTGCAGTCAATCAGGAAGTAAGGGGGGCGGGAATGGGAACAGGGAATGGAGGTGGGGAAATTGGAATCATGTTTGGCTAAGGGGGGAAATGGGAACAGGGACACAGGTGTAAGGCTCTGTGGTGTCAGAGCTGGGAAGGGGGACACTAAGGAAGGAAACTGGAATCATGCTTGCTGGAAGTTCACCCCAATAAACATCGCATTGTTTGCACCTTTGGACTTTGGGTATTGTTGCTCTCTGTTCATGCGCGAAGGACCAGGGAAATAAGTGGGTGAAGGAATAAGCCCCCTAACACCTCACCCAAAGATCTTCCAGTCAAACTACACAGGACAAAGCAGTTTATCCAAAATGATTTTTGCCACAGGAAAATTTATTTAAAAAAACCAAACCAAATACCGCCCCCCACCCCCATTTCAAAACTAGGGGGTTTCCTCCCATTTTCTTACAGTTTCCCAACTTTTGGGAATCACAGAAATGCAGGGCTGGAAGGGACCTCAAGAGATCATCAAGTCCAGCCCCCTGTGCTTAGGCAGGACAAAATAAACCTAGACCATCCCTGAGGGGTGTTTGTCCGACCTGGTCTTTAAAAGCTCCAATGAAGGGGATTCTATAACACCCCCTTAGCAGCCTGTTCCAGAGCTTAATTACCCTGAGAGTTAGAAAGTTTTTCCTAGTATTGAACCTACATCTCCCTTGCTGCAGATTAAGCCCATTGCTTCCTGTCCTGCCTTCAGTGGACATGGAGAACAACCGATCAGTGTCCTCTTTATAAAAGCCCTAAACATACTGGAAGACTGTTATCGGGTCCCCGTTCAGTCTTCTCTTCTCACGACTAAACATGCCCAGTCTTTTAAACCTTTGCCCAAAGCTCAGGCTCTGTCAACCTTTCATCACTTTTGTTGCTCTCCTCTGGACTCTCTCCAAATTGTCCATGTCTCTCCTAAAGTGCGGCACCCAGAACTGGACACAATACTCCAGCTGAGACCTCACTAGTGCCCATAGGCACCAAGCTTCTCCAGCGCCGGTGGGGGCTCGCGCCCCCCCGGCCCCACCCCAACCCCTTCCTCAAATCCCCGCCTCCTCCCCTGAGTGCACCCTGTTTCCCCTCCCCCCACCCCCCCAGGCTTGCCGCGCGAAACAGCTGTTTGGCATGGCAAGCCTGGGAAGGAGGGGTGAGAAGCGGAGCGCTCAGGGGAGGAGGCGGAGCGGAAGCAGAGGTGAGCTGGGGTGGGGTGGGGGGAAGCTGCCGGTGGGTGCTGAGCACCCACCAATTTTTCCCCATGGGTGCTCCAGCCCCAGAGCACCCACGGAGTCGGTGCCTATGCCAGTGCCAAGTAGTGTCTCCCATGTCTTAACTCCCATGTCTTACATACAACACTCCTGGTCATGCACCCCAGGACGATATTAGCCTTGTTCTCAGCTGCATCACATTGTCGATTCATATTTAATTTGTGGTCCACTGTAACTCCCAGATCCTTTTCAGCCGTACGACCGCCTAGCCAGGTATTCCCTATTTTGTCTCCATGGATTTGGTTTTTCCTTCCTAGGTGAAGTACTTCGCACTTGTCTTTATTGCTGGTTCAATGATATAGATCTAGGTAGATCTAGGTATATAGGCATATACTGCTGAGATGAAAACGTTCCTTTCTTTTTCAGGGTAACGTTTGCACTGGTTTCCTTTTTTGGAAATAGGTTTTTATTTCTACTTCTTTTAAAGGCAGGTTTCCACACCTCCTTCCCACGCTTTTTACTTTTCCTCCCTTTTTCTCTTTATAAAGTGATGTGGAAAAAGGCCAAAAAAAAAAAAAAAAGAAGGGAACCCAAAATTTTGAAAAATGAGATTTTGGAGTTAAAAAAAACAAAACAAACAACCCCCAAACTGAAATGACATTTGAAGTTAAAAATGAAATGAAAAATTGGGGGGGGGGGTCAACTTTTTTCTATTAAAAAAAGTCAAATCCTGTCCCTGAATTTGCATTTTACAACCAGCTCCGCAGGAGATTCAGTTCCTTGAATCTAGAAGCTGCCTTAGGCCTTCAGGGGGTGCCAGGCTCTGGCATGTCCCTAGCTGTGGTTATGAAGGTGCGTGTCTCTTCCTTACCAGCTCCGTCAGGGAATCAATCGAAGCCAGGGAGGCGTTGAGGGAAGAGCAGTGGCTCTGGCTCGTGCTCCAGTTCCCTTCAGTCTCTGAGAAGTGGTAACAGTTACCTTGGTATCCAACCCAGCCGTCCGGGCATGCAGCAGTGACGTGGGGCGGGCAGCGTGGGCAGGGAGGAGTCTTCTTGGCTGAAAATAAGTGAGTAACACAGTGGTGAGAGATGGACCTCTCCCTGGTGTCTGTCTCCGCGTGGGAATCCCGGCCAGAGAGAGCACTAAGCCCCACACGTCTCAGGCCTGGGTTGTCGTTTTGCATAGATCCCGAGACCAGAAGGGACCGTTGTGATCTTCTTGTCTGACCTCCTGCATCACAAAGGTCTTAGAACTGCCCCCAAAATAATCCCTCGAGCAGAGCTCTTACAGCAACGTCCCACTGTGGTTTAAAAACTGTCAGTGATGGAGAATCCACCGCGCCCCTTGGTAAATCGTTCCGATGGTGAATAACGCTCTCTGTTAACAGCTGATGCCTTATTCCCAGTCTGAATTTGTCCAGCTTCAACTTCTAGCCATTGGATCGTGTTAGACTGAAGAGCCCATTGTTAAATATTTGTTCCCCAAGTAGGTATTTATAGCCTGGGATCAAGTCGCCCTTTAACCTTCTCCTGTAAATAGATGGAGCTCTTTGAGTCTATCACTATAAAGCAGGTTTTAATCCTTCTTGTGGCTCAACTCTGACCCTTCTCCAATTTATCAACATCCTTCTTGAATTGTGGGCACCGGAACTGGACACAGGATTCCAGCAGCGGTCGCACAAGGGCCAAATCCAGAGGTAAAATAACCCGTCTTCTCCTACTCGAGATTCCCCTGGTTATACATCCCAGGGTTACATTAGCTCCTCTGACCCACCGGGAGCTCGTGTTCAGCTGATTATTCCCCATCACCCCCAAACCTTTGTCAAAGTCCCTGCTTCCCCGGACAGAACCCCCCATCCTGTATGTACGGCCACCATTTGCATGGGTTGGCTGGGGAGGACAGGGTGGGAGCTATGATGGCATCATGACACACTGTACCCTGGCATCCAAATGGGCCCATCCGCCATCTTAACTTCCGGCACCGTCAGGGTTGGACCCATTCTGTCAGGCAAGAGGTGAAAAATGGGAAGGGTGGGTGCATTTCATGGACTCCCCCTTGACGTACCCTCCTCAGTGCACACATGTGATGGCTGCCACACCAGGGCTAGAACTGGGGCCCTTCACAGCTAAGAGCGAGACCCGTAATGTGGGAGCCGAGAGCCCCTAGGCGGGGCTATAACAGCTCATGTTCTCTGTGGCTGGGCCCAAAGGCCGGCCTGTCACACACGCTCGCTGAGGCTTTCCACGCAGGCGAGCGAAGCAGCCACAAAAACTGAGGGGCTACTCTCATCGTCCGTGGGGGGGTTCTATGGAGCTGAGTGCGTCCCAGAGCTTGATTTTCCCAGAGGCGCTCAGCAATTGCCATTCCTGATGGCTCTGGGTGGGGTTGCGGGTGCTGGGAATCTATGCCCTTCCTCTTTGGGGGAAAAGGGTCTGGAGAGAGATTTCCCCTCTGAAAAGGGGCATGTGCTTCCACGGAGGTGTCAGACCAGGGCAACGACAGGGTGGGAAACGCAAGTGGGCCCTGTGACCTTGGGGCTCGGACAAGCGGTGAATGAAGAATACGTGACAAGGGAATGAGAATCGGCAGGGTTAGGAATGACCCTTCACTCACCCGCCAGCGCAATTATGGTGATGATCAAAGCTGTGATGACGACAGTAACGGTAATTGGGATCCGTTTATCTTTAATGCATTTTAGGCTGAAATCTGCAAAATAAAAAAAAATAAATGAAAAGACACGAAAGCAGATGAAGGCAGGCAGCAAACATATATCAACAGCACATGCTGCCGGTGTGTGAAAACGGTCCTGTTTTGCTAAGTGCTTCCGTGAGTGGATAAATCTAGCTGACGATGATCAAGGGCATGGAACAGCTTCCATACAAGGAGATGAAGTGGGCTGTAGACCATGAAAGGTGATGCTCAAATAAATGTGTTCGTCTCTAAGGTGCCAAAAGTCCTCCTGTTCTTTTTGCGGGTACAGACTAACATGGCTGCTACTCTGAAACCATACAAGGAGAGACTACAAAGATTAGGGCTGTTCATCTTAGAAAAGAGACGACTAAAAGGGGGGGTAGGATCATAGAATCATAGAATATCAGGGTTGGAAGGGACCTCAGGAGGTCATCTAGTCCAACCCCCTGCTCAAAGCAGGACCAATCCCCAACTAAATCATCCCAGCCAGGACTTGGTCAAGCCTGACCTTAAAAATAACTAAGGAAGGAGATTCCACCACCTCCCTAGATAGATAGATAGGATTCCACCACCTCCCTAGATAGGACAGAAGTCTATAAAACCATGAACGGTGTGGAACAAGTGAATAAAGAAGTGTTATTTACCCAGCGCCTGGCACAACGGTGCCCTGATCTCAGCTGGGGCAGGGACGCTCTCCCCCTGTGGGTCTGTGCAGTGCACAATGGGGCTCAGCTGCTGTCTCTAGGTGTTACCGTATTATACCTAATAAATAATATAATTTTTTACCTACATCTCTTCTCCTTTCTGCCACTGGTCCGTGCAGCATTGAGACATTCGCTCCTCTACCTACCAGAAAGCAAAAGAAACTGTCATTTAAGGTCAGATCATACAGTCCCCTCCACGCAGGGCCCAGTGCTGTGTATGAAGTCCAGGCCTTTTGAATGTATCCATCACTGCTTCCCCTCCCCTCGCGCATCCCAGAGTGACTGGCAGTCCCCAGATCTTGCTATCCTCACCCCACACAGCCCGGCCTTAGCCTGATTGAGGGGCTCCAAGCAGATCAGAGAGCATGGTAACGCATTTGACAAATTGTGTGCCATGTCTCCCTCTAGTGGCTGGCAAGAGGATAATATCTCTGCCAACATTTTTGTTAGCATTATAACAACTCGGGCTCTTCCTGTTCTCCACAGAAATGTGCAAACCCTCTTGGAATTCTTGCTAAGTTCTTGGCCTTAACATCATCGGTTGATGTCACCTCGCAGTGAGTTCCACCGCCTAATTACCCAGTGCGTGAAAAATTGTTTCCTCTGATCCGTTTTGAAGTTCTCACCTTTCCGTTCCATTCCTTTGTGCTTTGTGCTTGACACGGATCTACCTTCTCTAGCCCATCCATTATCCTGTCCCTTGTACCCGTCTCCTCTCCAAGGTAACGGCCTCAGTCTTTTCAAGCTCTCGTCACAGGAGAGGTTTCCCAGGCCCTTGATCCTTCTCGTCACCTCTCTCTGAACCCCTCTAGTCTACAATATCCTTTCCGAGATGGGGTGCACACAGTATTCCAGATTTCAAGCCTTTTACTACACCAGATCCCCTGTTGGCCAGAGTCCTTCAGGGTGGAAAAGACCCAAATTGCCAACAAAAAAAACAAGCATGAACCAAAGAGCAACAAAAACTCCTTGTATCCTGTCTTTATCCCCCATAAAAATGAGGAGGTAACCCAGCCACCATATTTTTGTCCCTCTGCCAGTCACACCACAGGCTCCCTTTTGATTAAGACCAAAGTATTTCTTATTTACTGGTATCGCTTGTCACTTCGGCGCTCTCTTCGGCCATTTTCTGGACAATCAGCACCGAGACTGCTGTGTCTCCACCTACCAGGAAGGAACAGAGACGGTCACTCAGGGTGGGTTATTTTAATTATGCACTTCTCCTTTAAAGCTGTCAGAACATGCCAAATGCAACAGACAATGCCCGGTCCAACCTCTCACTGTGCCAACTAGGTGTTTTCAGTGCATCCGTCACCACGTAAGACCCACGTGGCTTCCCCCGGCCTTAATATCCTCAAATACCCAAACAGTCCCCACCTCTCCTTCAGAGATTTTAAGTCCTGAAATAGGGCTGTCGATCAATTGCAGTTAACTCACGCGATTAATTAAAAAAAAAACAACTTAATCACGATTAAAAAACTTAATCGCAATTAATTCCGCTGTTAAACAACAGAATACCAATTGAAATTTATTAAATATTTTGGATGTTTTTCTACATTTGCAAATATATTGATTTCTATTACAAGGCAGAATACAAAGGGTACAGTGCTCACTTTATATTATTATTTTTGATTACAAATAATTGCACTGTAAAAAGGATAAACAAAAGAAATGGCATTTTTCAATTCACCTCATGCAAGTACTGTAATGCAATCTCTTTATCGTGAAAGTGCAACTTACAAATGTAGATTATATTTTGTTACATAACCGCACTCAAAAATAAAACAACATCAAACTTGAGAGCTTACAAGTCCTACTTATTGTTCAGCCAATCGTTAAGACAAATAAGTTTGTTTACATTTATGGGAGGTAATCGTAGAAGATTAGGGTTGGACGAGACCTCCTAGTGAAATAGTAAAAAGAAAAGGAGTACTAGCTCCCGATGTGCTGTAATAATTAAATTGTCAGTATTAAAATGTTTTCTAAAAATATTGTGCTGTTTCCTGTACATACGTTTCCTGTCCATTGTGGTCTGACCTTTCTGTGGTTTAAAATACTATGGGGCTACAGTAAGGATACCATTGTTAAAGTTGTAAAACATTTTCCATTTTAACCTCAGTTTTTACAACCGCTATCCTATATCGGGGCTAGATTGAATCTCCACTGCATTATACCAGTTTTACTCAGGAGCTACTCAATTAAGTTACTCTGGCATAAAACTGGTGTAATGCAGTGGAGAATTAGACCATAAAATATTAAGAAAAACTTTTTTCAGCCTGAAATTTTGTATAGTAAGTCATAGGTCTGTTGAGAATTTTTGGAGAAACTTTGAGGATAGTTGAATAAGCCATTTGTAAGTTATGAGTCTTTGAAATATTATTTGTTTTTCACATTTTTAAAATAGTTCTAACTTTAACTGCTCATAATTCAAAAGTGGCTTGGGCTAAATACGTTTTACATATTTATCGTCGCTTGTACGTAGGTCTAGCTTTACTGTTTGGAATTAATAAATCTTTAGTTATTTAAGTTTTGGTTTTGTAGGGTATTTTCCTGTGAACATTATAGGTTCTTTATGCTACCGTGCAGTATTTAGGAACTTAACATGGAAACCCACAGGCATTGTAATTTCCATGATCTTGAAAGTAGGCATTGCAGTCTATGGTGCTTCCCTGTGGAGATTGTAAATTCTCACATGAGAAGGAAAAGAGGAAGTCTGGGTGCACTTGAACAACTGGTAGGAAAGGAGGATCTAATCCCAAAAAGGGTGTCTAGATGATGATCAATAAAGGTACAATAGGAGTCCCTATGGACTTTATATGCTCCAGTTTGAGATGTAAAATTAGCTATGTATTTGCCACCTTAAGAAACTGTTCCATATTAATGTAAAAATGGATTATGCTTTTCTTGTTCTATTTGCATTTGAGGTTGTAAAAGTTTTATATGTATAATATAGCGTACGACTGTGAACTATTAGGAGAAGAAACCTGAACAGATAATATAGCCAAATAATAGTGTCATGACTGGGCATGGGTGGTCTGACCTAGTGGTGAGAGCAGGAATCAGACTGGGTCAGATACCAGGAGGTCAGAGTCCAAGACAGGTCAGAGGGCAAAACCCAGACTCAGATGTCAGGCAGGGTGAGGTTACTAGGAGAGGAGGACGACCAGGTTGCAGGGTCTGCAGTCCTAATCTGCATGGACAACTTCCTGTTCCTGTGCTTGGGTTAAATAGAAGCTGGGGACCAATCAGGATCCCCTAATGTTCCACCAATCAGATTCCAGGACTGGAGTCCTCTGTCAGAATTCAGCTGCTGTTCTGGCAGCAGGTCACTGGGTGGCAGGTTGGAATTGCCTAGCTTGTAGGGGTCCTGTAGACTACTGTTCAAGACTCATGTTTCCTGATAAATAAATACACTTTCCAGATAAAATACAAATAAGGTTACAATATTAGATCTGCTAAGAACTGTTTTAGCACATATGTGGTTTTTTTTAAAATTAAAATGTCTTGAAATCCAAGAAATACTAACCTAAATCTCTAGAATCAATAAACAAACATTGAAAGCCCTGGCTGGGATGATTTAGTTGGGGATTGGTCCTGCTTTGAGCAGGGGGTTGGACTAGATGACCTCCTGAGGTCCCTTCCAACCCTGATATTCTACGATTCTATGATGAAGTGAGCTGTAGCTCACGAAAGCTTATGCTCAAATAAATTGGTTAGTCTCTAAGGTGCCACAAGTCCTCCTTTTCTTTTTGCGAATACAGACTAACACGGCTGCTACTCTGAAACTAGTGAAATAATGTTTCCTAATATCCAACCTAGACCTCCCCCACTGCAACTTGAGACCATTGCTCCTTGTTCTGTCATCTGCCACCACGGAGAACAGCCTCGCTCCATCCCTTTTGGAACCCCCCCTTCAGGTAGTTGAAGGCTACTATCAAATCCCCCCTCACTCCTCTCTTCTGCAGACTAAACAATCCCAGCTCCCTCGGCCTCTCCTCATAAGTCATGTGTTCCAGCCCCCTGATCATTTTCATTGCCCTCCGCTGGACTCTCCAATTTGTCCACATCCTTTCTGCAGTGGGGGGCCCAAACTTGATCCAATACTCCAGATGTGGCCTCACCAGTGCCGAATAGAGGGGAATAATCACTTCCCTCGATCCGCTGGCAATGCTCCTACTAATACAGCCCAATATGCCGTTAGCTTTCTTGACAACGAGGGCACACCACTGACTCCTATCCCGCTTCTCATCCACTGTAATCCCCAGGTCCTTTTCTGCTGCCTGCTTCTTATTTGTGATGAAACTGATAACAGGCATTCGCATGGCACTTTTGTAGCTGGCCTTGCAAGGTATTTACGTGCCAGATATGCTAAACATTCATATGCCCCTTCATGCTTCGGCCTCCATTCCAGAGGACATGCTTCCATGCTGATGACGCTCGTTAAAAAAATAATGTGTTAATTAAATTTGTGACTCAACTCCTTGGGGGAGAATTGTAGGTCTCCTGCTCTGTTTTACCTGCATTCTGCCCTATATTTCAAGCCCTAGCAATCTCGGATGACGACCCAGCACGTGGTCATGTTAAGAACACTTTCACTGCAGGTTTGACAAAATGCAAAAACCATACCAATGTGAGATTTCTAAAGAAAGCTACAGCACTCGACCCAAAGTTTAAGAAGCTCTCTTTCAGAAGTCTTAAAAGAGCACCACTCAGAAGCAGAAACTACAGAACCTGAACTATCAAAAAAGAAAATCAACCTTCTGCGGCTGGCATCTGACTCAGATGAGGACGTGTCAGTCTGCTCTGCTTTGGATCGTTATCAAGCAGAACCCGTCATCAGGGTGGTCGAAGCAGGAAGGGACATATGAATCTTTAGCTCATCTGACAAGTAAATATCTTGCGACAGCAGCTACAACCGTGCCATGTGAATGCCTGTTCTCACTTTCAGGTGACATTGTAAACAAGAAGCGGGCAGCATGTCTTCAAGTCACCAGGGCCTGATGAAATGCATCCTAGAATACTCCAAGAGCTGACTGAGGAGCTTTCTGAGCCATTAGCAATTATTTCTGAAAAGTCATGGAAGACGGGAGACATTCCAGAAGAGTGGAAAAGGGCAAATACAGTGCCCATCTATAAAAAGGGAAATAAGTGTAAGCGGGGGAATAGTCCCACTATTGTGGGGAACTTTCCTGGCTTCCGCACGACCCCGGTGAAGTGGGCTAGCGAAAGGATCCGAGTCCTCGCTCCTACTTCCTTTACCCAGAGGCCTCCCTGCCCTTGAGGACTCCCCTTCCACCCTCCTGTCTGGCAGAATCCTCGTCACCCCAACAAGGGTGGGCCCAGGATTCCTGGGGGGGGAGCTTGACCCCCAACCCTGCTGTGGTCACCTAGGACAGGGACTAGGGTGTCCCCACTCCGGGGTACTCTCTCTGCACTGGGCACTTCTCTGACCCACTGACCATTACATACAAGTTAAAGCAAATGCAAGTTATTTAATCAACAATTAATTTTAAAAAGAATAAGGAAAAATGGGAAAGGTTCAAGGAAACACATCACCCCGCTCTGTGGCAGGGAACATCACAAACAGGGTCTCTGGAACGTCAGGGCAGTTCACAGTCTGTTCCTTGTAAGTCCCAGACCTCCTTCTCAGGCCCTGGCTGTGCTGCAGGGATGCTGCGGGTTGGACACTTGCTCTGGTGGTGGCCACAGGCTCTCAGGCTCTAAGTGGAAGGACCCTTCTTCCCACTGTCGCCCCTGCCCTGTCGGGATTACGATCCAAGCCTGGCCTGCAGAGCCCCTTGGCTGAGGTGTCTCCCTGTGCTGGGCCCGCTGCCCAGGGTCCCCCTCGCTCACCGCAGCTGCTCACCGCGCCCAGCTCCGGACTGCTCCAGCCCCAGCTCCACCACTTGGTCTCTGCTGATCTGCATCCAGCTCCCTGGGCTGCTTCTCTGGCCCCTCTGGCTCTGGGTGCTGCAGCTCTGCTCCCAGGGCAAGTCTGCTCTCCCTGGGCTGTGCCTCTGGCTTTGGGTCTGCAGCTCTGCTCCCAGGACAGGGTCTGCTCTCTCTGGGCTGCTTCTCTGGTCCCCCTGGATCTGGCCCAGCTCTGCTCCCCAGCTCAGCTTGGGCTCCTGCTTTCTCCTTAGCTCGGCCCCACTCTGTCTGACCAAGGCAAATCCAGCTCATACGGAGGAGGGGACCTCCCTGGCCTCTTGACTCCCTGATTAGCCTGCTCGCCCTGTCATTCAGGCTGACCAGGAGCATTGGCCTCTCCCCATTGTTCCTGGGGACTATCAGTCTCAGGGTCCTGGTTTCCCATACACCCTTCCCCTTTTAGTACTGGGAGCTAGCAACCAAAACATCCCCACTGAATGTCAGTAAGGGGGCAACAGTCCCCTTACATAAGGACAACCTGTGGAATTACAGACCAGTCAGCTTATACTTCTGTACCCGGAAAAATAATGGAGCAAATAACCCACCCCTCGTCTAAATGGAAAAGCACCAGGTTAAAGATGGATTCTAGTTCAGGTGACATGATCACAGGTCACTGTAAGACCCCAAGCTTACATTCCTCCCGGCCTGATTCACAGGAAGGCCTGCAAGCCAACAGAGCCATCCACAGTCAATTGTCCTGGTTGATGGGAGCCATCAAGATTCCAAAACCAACATTAATGGCCCACGCTTTGAATAATTACAATAGGGCCTCCAAGTTATATTTCATATTTCTAGTTTCGGATACAAGAATAATACCTACATACAAACAGGATGACCACACTCAGTAGATTATAAGCTTTGTAATGATACCTTACAAGAGAGTTTTTGCAGGAAGCATATTCCAGTTACATTATATTCACACTCATTATCATATTTTCATAAAATCATATAGCATGCAACATCACAACTGCTTAGAAAGGAGTACTGTGGAAAGGGACCTGGGGGTCATAGTGGATCACAAGCTAAATATGAGTCAACAGTGTAATGTTTTTGCAAAATAAGCAAATATATCATTCTGGGATGTATTAGCAGGAATGTTGTAAGCGAGACAAGAGAAGTAATTCTTCCACTCTACTCTGTGCTGATTAGGCTCAACTGGAGTATTGCGTCCAGTTCTGGGTGCCACATTTCAAGAGAGATGTGGACAAATTGGAGAATGTCCAGAGAAGAGCAATAAAAATGATTAAAGTTCTAGAAAACATGACCTATGAGGGAAGACTGAAAAAAACTGGGTTTGTTTAGTCTGGAGAAGAGACGACTGAGAGGGGACATGATAACAGTTTTCAAGTACATAAAAGGTTGTTACAAGGAGGAGCGAGAAAAATTATTCTTCTTAACCTCTGAAGATAGGACAAGAGTCAACAGTGTAATGATGGCGTGGACTGCACCCTCAGCAAGTTTGTAGATGACACTAAACTGGGAGGAGAGGTAGATACGCTGGAGGGTAGGGATAGGATACAGAGGGACCTAGACAAATTAGAGCATTGGGCCAAAAGAAATCTGATGAGGTTCAACAAGGACAAGTGCAGAGTCCTGCACTTAGGACGGAAGAATCCCAGGCACCTCTACAGACTAGGGACCGAATGGCTCGGCAACAGTTCTGCAGAAAAGGACCTAGGGGTTACAGTGGACGAGAAGCTGGATATGCGTCAACAGTGTGCCCTTGTTGCCAAGAAGCCTAACAGCATTTTGGGCTGTATAAGTAGGGGCATTGCCAGCAGATCGAGGGACATGATCGTTTCCCTCTATTCAACATTGGTGAGGCCTCATCTGGAGTACTGTGTCCAGTTTTGGATCCCTGCACTACAAGAAGGATGTGGAAAAATTGGAAAGCGTCCAGCGGAGGGCAACAAAAATGATTAGGGGTCTGCAACACATGACTTATCAGGAGAGACTGAAGGAACTGGGATTGTTTAGTCTGCAGAAGAGAAGAATGAGGGGGGATTTGGTAGCTGCTTTCAACTACCTGAAAGGGGGTTCCAAAGAGGATGGATCTAGACTGTTCTCAGTGGTAGCAGATGACAGAACAAGGAGTAATGGTCTCAAGTTGCAGCGGGGGAGGTTTAGGTTGGATATTAGGAAAAACTTTTTCACCAGGAGGGTGGTGAAGCACTGGAAAGCGTTACCTAGGGAGGTGGTGGAATCTCCTTCCTTTGAGGTTTTCAAGGTCAGGCTTGACAAAGCCCTGGCTGGGATGATTTAGTTGGGGATTGGTCCTGCTTTGAGCAGGGGATTGGACTAGATGACCTCCTGAGGTCCCTTCCAACCCTGATAGTCTATGATTCTATGAAGAAGCAATGGGCTTAAATTGCAGCAAGGGCCTTTTAGCTTGTACATTAGGAAAAACTTCCTAACTGTCAGGGTGGTTAAGCACTGGAATAAATTGCATAGGGAGGTTGTGGAATCTCCATTATTGCATATTTTTAAGAGCAGGTTAGACAAACACCTGACAGGGATGGTCTAGATAATACTTAGTCCTGCCATGAGTGCAGGGGACTGGACTAGACGACCTCTCGCGGTCCCTTCCAGTTCTGATTATCTTCTGCAAACTGCAACCAAACTTGTTTGTCTGAGTGACTGGCTGAACAAGAAGCAGGACTGAGTGGACTCGTAGGCTCTAAAGTTTTACACTGTTTTATTTTTGAATGCAGATATTTTTTATACGTAATTCTACATTTGTAAAGTTCAACTTTCATGACAAATAGATTGCACTACAGTACTTGTATTGGGTGAACTGAAAAATACTATTTCTTTAGGTTTTTCTACAGTGCAAATATTTGTAATCAAAAATAAATATAAGGTGAGCACTGTACACTTCGTATTCTGTGTTGTACTTGAAATCAATATATTTGAAAATGTAGAAAACATTCAAAAATATTTAAATAAATGGTATTCTGTTATTAACAGCGCAATTAATCATGATTACTTTTTTTTTTTTTTTGGTAATCGCTTGACAGCACTAGCCCAAAGACATTAAGAAGAGGCGAATCCAGCGCTTCCCTAGGGAATTTGGTCCCAGGGTTAAACACTCTCACGGTTAGAAAACCTGGGCGTTATTTCTCATTTGAATTTGTCTGGCTTCAGCTTGCAGAAATTGGGCCTTGTCCTGCCTGTCTCTGTTAGTTTAAAGAGCCATTTAGCACCCGGTATTTCCTCCCAGGGCAGGTCCAAGTCACCTCTCAATCTTCTCAAAAAGAAAAGGAGTACTTGTGGCACCTTAGAGACTAACCAGTTTATTTGAGCATGAGCTTTCGTGAGCTACAGCTCACTTCATCTGATGAAGGTGCCACAAGTACTCCTTTTCTTTTTGCGAATACAGACTAACACGGCTGTTCCTCTGAAACCTCTCAATCTTCTGTTTAAGAAACTAACCAGACGGACCTCCTTAAATCTCTCACTGTGGGGCCTTTTCTCTAGCCGGCAATCATGTTAGTGGCTCTTCTCCGCCCCTCTCTGATTTTTCAACATCCTTTTTAAAATGTGGGCACAAGAAGTGGAATCACTGGTCCAGTATCAGCCTCACCAGTGCCATACACAGAGGTTAAATCACCCGCCTTCCCCTGCTCCCGTTTACACGTTCACGGATCGCGTTCGCGATTTTTGTCATGGGTTGAATTGCTTGTTCATTATCACCCCTGCTCCCCCAGGCTGAGATAATAACCTGCTTTTTCAATACATTCAGTGTAATGCATTGCAAAGGGAGTCTCTTGTACCCCTCTACTGGTCCATTCACACAGCGGATAACAGCCTACTACTGCTGCCACCTCATGTTCTATGTTGCGGTGCTAACTGTCCCCACTTTAAACCCAGCTCATAGACAATGAGGAAAGTCTTTATGTTAACAAACAGTTTAGTGGGGTTCAGGACACACTCCGCTGATCAGAGAGATCTCCTGGCTGATAAAGGGGCCCTTAATGTAATGAGGAGCACAGGGCTCCCCACACAAGGGTTTAGTAAGTAAGAGCAATGGGCCAGCGCTGCTGAGTTATCAGTCCCCATCCCCAGAACTGCAGATTCTCCTGCTCCAGCCACTGGACTCTGGGCCACCAAATTCCCAACCTTCACTTACAACAACCAGATGGCTACTTTTAAGGCATTAAAGAATGTGACCCCCTCTGGCACCAGGCCTTTAGCTCAGGGGACACGCGGCATTTCCTTTCCACCTTGGCTTCAGTGGTGCAGGCTGCTGGGAAGGGCGAGCGAGACTTTGCACAAACACCTGGGAATGCAGATGGTTCTTGACTGTCTCCCTCATTCCAGCCCTTAGTGCTACAGGTTCTCTCTCATCGCCGTAGCTTCTGAGAATCTCCCATGTGCCAATGGACTTATGGTTAATATTATTAGCTACTTCTCTTGCAGAAGTGGCACGGGACACCAACCAAGACTGGAGCCCCGTTGTGCAGGGCGCTGCCCAGACACACAGCGAGAGAGAGAGAGTCCCTGCCCATTTGTGCAGACACAGTCCCTGACCCAAAGAGCTTCCAATCTAAACAGACAAAGGGCGGGAGGGGAAATCGTGCAGAGAGGGGACTTGCTCAGAGTCACACCACAGTTTAGTGGCAGAACCAGGATTAGAACCCAGGTCTTCTGTCACCCACTCTGCTGCTCCAGGCACTAGACTACAGCATTGCTGTGGTTTTTTGTTCTGATTAGCATGGACCTGGCTGGAGCCCTTGGCATAACGAACAGTGTGAACCAAAGCAGGCCTGACCTTGGCAAGATAAGTTTTAGCTAACACCAAGCAAGCATATCCTGACCTGAGACAAAAACACACAGCTCTCTCAAGAGACTACGTCAGCACATTCCCAAGAGATGGTGCAGGAACACACCGACCCCTCCTACGACAAGGAGGGGAGGACAGAATAACAGATAAGGATGTTTTGGTGGAACTGGAAGGTGCAAGGACAAGGGTGGTAACTAGCAACGTCCGGGGCGTCACACATCACTTGTTTGTATCAATGCCTACAAAGCAGACGCCAGAGGAGGGGTGATTTACGCTGATCTAGGGGACAGGACCCTGGTGCGCTGACGGAGCAGGTACCATGGACACGGGTACACACGAGTTAGTGTCCTTGTGGCTCCTACAGGACGCTAGCGCCGTGGTTTGCCCCCGGTCTCCAGCCTGTTTCGACTCCAGGTTTCTGTTCTTTGTTCCTAACTCCCTGCCTCCTGGCCTTTTGATGTGGGCCTCCCATCCTGGTAAGAAAAGTTACTGATGCATTGCTTCAGGGCCATGGTGGGGAGTTAAAGTAACAGTTTAGCACGAGGAATGTACCTAGCAGGGATAGGTGGGAGATAAGAAGGTTTGTCTATTGGCTAAGGTTTCCGATGCGCGAGGGTAACATGCTTTGCTAAAAGGTATATAATCTCTGTATAACCTGCATTCGGGGTCCCCTCCTGACTAGCAAGGGGGGCACCACGCTCGAGCGTAATAAACTTAGTATCTTTGGGAACTCTGCAGTTGTGGACTTTGTTTGTGTGCCTCAGCCTAGACTCGAACTGTGCGGGACCTATCAGGTATAATTCGTAGCAGTCCTTGTGCGTGACCTATCAGGTATAATTCGTAACACAGGCCAGAGAGCCTCCCTCGCAGCACGTCCGGCATCCAGAACGGGTACGTGGTAAAGAGAGTGTGTGTTTCAGAAAGATAACGAATCTCGGTTTAGTGGCTTCACCTGCTGTTGGAACCATCTCGGCCCCGGAGCGCTGTTCCCATGACTGAGTGAAAACAAAAAGAAAAGGAGGACTTGTGGCACCTTAGAGACTAAGCAATTTATTTGAGCATGAGCTTTCGTGAGCTACAGCTCACTTCATCAGATGTGTACCGTGGAAACTGCAGCAGACTTTATATACACACAGAGAATATGAAACAATACCCCCTCCCACCCCACTGTCCTGCTGGTAATAGCTTATCTAAAGTGATCAACAGGTGGGCCATTTCCAGCACAAATCCAGGTTTTCTCACCCTCCACACAAATTCACTCTCCTGCTGGTGCTAGCCCATCCAAAGTGACAACTCTTTACATAATCAAGTCGGGCTATTTCCTGCCTAGATCCAGGTTTTCTCACATCCCCCCCACCCCCATACACACACAAACTCACTCTCCTGCTGGTAATAGCTCATCTAAACTGACCACTCTCCAAGTTTAAATCCAAGTTAAACCAGAACATCTGGGGGGGGGGGGGGGGGGGAAAAACAAGAGGAAACAGGCTACCTTGCATAATGACTTATGGTACAAGGTCCACAAGGTAGCCTGTTTCCTCTTGTTTTTTCCTACCCCCTCCCCCCCCAGATGTTCTGGTTTAACTTGGATTTAAACTTGGAGAGTGGTCAGTTTAGATGAGCTATTACCAGCAGGAGAGTGAGTTTGTGTGTGTATGGGGGTGGGGGGGATGTGAGAAAACCTGGATTTGTGCAGGAAATAGCCCGACTTGATTATGTAAAGAGTTGTCACTTTGGATGGGCTAGCACCAGCAGGAGAGTGAATTTGTGTGGGGGGGTGGAAGGTGAGAAAACCTGGATTTGTGCTGGAAATGGCCCACCTGTTGATCACTTTAGATAAGCTATTACCAGCAGGACAGTGGGGTGGGAGGAGGTATTGTTTCATATTCTCTGTGTGTATATAAAGTCTGCTGCAGTTTCCACGGTATGCATCTGATGAAGTGAGCTGTAGCTCACGAAAGCTCATGCTCAAATACATTGGTTAGTCTCTAAGGTGCCACAAGTACTCCTTTTCTTTTTGCGAATACAGACTAACACGGCTGTTCCTCTGAAACCTGAGTGAAAACAGGTACTGTTTTCTGCAGTTGGACTTTCCCCAGCCTCAGCTTCCTTCTGTTGGCTCTGCTTTTGTCTGCTCCATGCCAGGGACTTCCCTGGGGCAGCTCAGCATGGCCTCTCCAGCCACAGTGCTTATTTAGAGCGGCTTTCTCTGCAGGCAGCAAACAGGGAAAAGCCTGCAATCCCCAGATAAGCATTATCAACGTGACAGCCACTGCTGGGCTCCCATCTGAGGGCTGGGCTACGAGAAGAAGTGATTCCAGAGTAAGATAGAGAGAGACGTTAAAGCGCCAGAGCTATTCTGGAATAACTCCCAGGGCGGGCGCTCTCATTCTGAAATAAGATCACCTCGTTCTGGTTCAGCTTCCTCCACTTCTGGAACAAGGGGCGCTATCCCGGAACAGCGTAGCCCATGGGAGCTATTCCAGTCCATTCCCTGTGTAGACAAGTCCTGCGGAAGGCGTTTGACTGTGAGAGTCAGATGTGAACTTGGGGAAGTATAAACCACCCCTCCAGAAGGACAAGGAGCCATGACAGTATGGTGGATTCTCTCCCCACCCCCCTTGAACCCTTTATGCCACTGGACTTGATCAGAAGCCCTGTGACCCCCCCTCCTACACAGACCCTAGCATAAAGGCCTGCTGGGGATGCAACTAGGGCTAGGAGTGAGCATGACTCTGCAAGGCTGCTGCAAATTAGAGTAGCCCTGGGGCTGCTCTAACTTGCACTAACATCCCTGGAGCAGTCCTGAATAAGAGAGACCCACCGGTGGCTTTAGGCCTTGCACCCCCACTGCCTGGGCTCTGATCCCTATGCTGACCTCCCCACCCCCCCATCTCCCCTTGTCCCTTCTTCTTGTCAGAACTCCAGGGGTTAAAGAAAGGGGGTGCTAAAAGCAGAGGCAAGGCCCATCCTCCTCTCCCTGGCTTGGGTTGAGCAGCCTCCTTCGCAGCTCTCCCTCCTTTCTGGCTGGTGCAGAAAGGATGCCCCCTTCCTGTTTCTATCTAGTTCAACACCCATGGACTCCTGTGGGACAGGATGGTCTAGTAGCGATAGGGTGACCAGACAGCAAGCGTGAAAAATCAGGACAGAGGGTGGGGGGGTAATAGGAACCTATAGAAGAAAAAGCCCCAAATATCAGGACTGTCCCTACAAAATTGGGACATCTGGTCACCCTAAGTAGTGAGGGTACCATGCTGGGACTCAGGAGAGCTCAATTCTGTTCGCAGCTACGCCACTGCTTTCCTAGATGACCTTGGACAAGGCCCTGCTCTGTGACTCAGTTTCCCCACCTGCCCCTTTCTTTCTGGTGCATTTCACTTGCAAGCTCCCTGCCTCTGAGTGTGTGTCTGTTCTGTGCCCAGCACAATGGGGTCCTGGTCTCAGTTAGGGCCTCTAGACCCCACAGTAAGAATACAACTAGTAAAGTAACAGCTGGTGATTGCGAGTGAGAGACGCCAGAGGACACATGATGGAGATCAGCTGAGGCAGTTCAGCTGAAAGTCTTGTGCTGGTTTAATGAGGAAGGGGTGGCTGACTTGACCTTGGTTACAATCACAGTTCCTAAATGCTAGAACTTTTACCTAACTCTCCCTTCCTGGACCTAGTTTCCTTTCTCCCACACATTTTCAGGTGGGATTGGCGAAGCGAGACCTTTAATTGAACCTGAGCCTTTAACATCGATGGGCCTTGGAGGCTTTTAGCTTTGGAGCCATTGTTACGTGGTGTGCATTTACTGAGACAGGGTGGAATGGCAGGCAGAGCCGGGGTTGACCGCATTTTCAGTCAACAAATATTTCAGATTGACAATGCTTAAAAGCAAAAATCCAAGGAGGCAAATTGCCCCTGAGCTCCTCAAAGAACCAGTTCATCAAATCATAGGATCCGAAAAATGTCAGATGGGAAGGGACCTCACAGGTCATCAAGTCCAGCCCCCTGCGCTGAGCATGACCCAGTAAACCTAGACTGTCCCTGACAGGTGTTTGTCCAGCCTGGTCTTATACACCCCAGTGATGGGGATTCCACAACCTCCCATGGACGCCTGTTCCAGAGCTTAACTCCCCTTAGAGTTCTATTTTTTCCTAATATCTAACCTAAGTCTCCCTTGCTGAAGATTCAGCCCGTTACTTCTTGTCCTGCCATCAGTGGACATGAAGAACAATTGATCACAGTCCTCTTTAGAACAGCCCTTAACATATTTGAAGGCTGCTATCAAGTCCTCCCTCAGTCTTCTCTTCTCACAACTAAACATGTCCAATTCTTTCATCCTTTCCCCATAAGTCGGGTTTTCTAAACCTTTTATCACTTTTGTTGCTCTCCTGTGAAGTCTCTCTAAATTGTCCACATCTTTCTTAAGGTCCAGAATTGGGCACTGTACCCCAGATGAGGTCTCATCAGCTCCAAGGGGGCTGGACAATGATCTCCTCTGTCTTCCACACAGCACTCTTGTTCATGCACCCCGGAATGATATGAAAGCCTTTTTTGAAGCTGCATCACATTGTTGTCTCACATTCAATTTTTTGATCCACTAGAACTCCCAGATCCTTTCCCCCACTACGACCACCTGGCCAGTTATTCCCCAGTTTATAGTCGTCCATTTATTTTTTTCCCCCTTCTTACGTGTAGCACTTTGCACTTGTCCTTATTGAATTTCATCTGGCTGATTTCAGACCAATTCTCCAATTTATCAAGGTCATTTTGAATTCTGATCTTGTCCTCCAGAGTGCTTGCAACTCCTCCCAGCTTGGTATCAGCCTCCCAGTTTATAAGCGTACGCTCCACTCCATTATCCAGGTAATTAATGTAAATAATGAAAAGCACCTGACTTACAACTGACCCCGATAGACCCTACTAGATACATCCTCTCAGCTGGACAGCAAACCACTGATAACTACTGAGTATAATCTTTCAACCCAGTGGTGCACCCACCTTATAGTAATTTCGTCTAGACCACAGTCCTCAGTTTGCTTGTGAGAATGTCATGTGGGACTAGGTCAAAGGCCTTACTAAAATAAAGATATATCACATCTCCTGCTTCTCCACTAGGCCAGTGACCCTGTTAAAAGAAGGAAATTAGGTTGGGTTAATATGATTTTTTTCTTGACAAATCCATGTTGACGCTTACTTATTACCCTGTTATCCTTTAGGCTAGGGGTTTACAAACCGATTGTTTAATCATTTGTTCTAGTCCCTTTGCAGGGATCAAAGTTAGACTGACTGGTCTATAATTCCCTGGGTCCTCTTTCTTCCCCTTTTTAAAGATAGGGCCTACGTTTGCCCACCTTCCATGAGTTCTTGAAGATAATCGCTAACAGTTCCGAGATGATTTCGCCTGCATCATCGCTGCAAAGTGGGCAGGTTCCAGGCGCTCAATAATAACCCAGGGTAGGTCTACACTGCAAAACAGCACACAGGGCAGCGAGCCTCAGAGCCCGGGACTACAAACTAGAGTTTGTGCTATGGCGCTAAACACTGCCATGTAGACGTTGCCACCCGGGCTCGGAGACCCGCCCTTCTCACCGAGCTTCAGGGCAGGAACGTCTACGTGGCTCTTTTCAGCACCACAGTGTGTGGCCCCAGGCTCGGAGATGAACATCTGTCATGGGTGGCTTATTCTCCATTGCCCTCTGCCCAGGGGGTGAATTGCCAGTGCCCTGGAGCGTTTTGTCTTGGCAGGTGTCAAGGCTGAATCCCCACTCTGTCACGCAAAGTGCAGAAATGGGGCCCACAAGGATTTTTAAAAAATTAATACTGGCCACTCCACACTTGTATTAAACTCCCAAGGTCACAGCTTCTCTCTGACCTTGGCTTGGTCAACGCTGTCACCACCAAAATGCAACAAAACCCCCTTTGAACCCAGGAAGGCGCACTTGGGAATTCCTCCCTGTGGGGTACCCTCATGCCCTTTCACTCCCAACCCCGCTCCGGGGAAGAGCTGAGAAAGAAAACAAAGGAAATCAGCTGTGGCTATCAGCTAATCAAACAACATGCACAAACCTCTGCTGACACCAAAAACCCAGTCCTGTTCTTAAAAAAGGTAAATTTTATTAAAAACAAAAAGACAAAAATACATCTGGGACTTAGGCTTTTTCCTAGATCTTAAAAGAAACAATTACAAAAAATAAGCACCCCAGCTAGCTTTCTTGGGGGTTCAGCTTAAAGGTTACAAGCAAACAAAAGCATCTGAAGTTAGCACAGAGTCTACGAGGCAATAAGAAATAAAAGAAATAACCCTGATCGCGTCTAGCTAAACACGCTGATCTACTTACACATTTGGAGTTCAGATGAGTAGTTTTAGGCACAATCTGATGCTTTATGATCATACCTGGCTTAAGCTGCTTATAGCATGGCTGCTCTGTCCCTCCAGCCCAGAGAACAATAGACAAAGGGAAAATTTCTTTCCCTATTTTAAAAAGTTCTACCTTCCCACTGTCTCTTTTGGTCAGGTGCCCACTTTCTTTTCCTGGGGGACTTTTTAACCTTTTACAGATAAAGCAAGTAAACAGCTACCAAGAGGGATTTTACAGCTCACTGGCTGGCCATCAGAGGGAGCTATCCCCCTTCATTTACCACAGCTGGGATGTGTTAATGCACACACCACCCTCTGTAAATACCAATGTTTGCTACTAGCCATAAAAATCTCCAGGCTGTGACAGCTTTTCTTCTGCTTCTGGGGACTTGTCCTTGCCGCCGGGTTAGCTGGGGGTGCCACTCGAGCGTTGCTCCGGAGCCAGCTCCCGAGCACACCCCCAAACCTCTAGCCCTAGTGAAGCGGTGCCGTAACCAAGAGCCAGCCGCCCCGCTGGGGTTGAGGGACCTCCAGTTAGGGCAAGTCACCGGGCACAAACGCTCTGCTCTGCCCGTCTCTGTGTGGCCAGTGAACTCAGCCGGTGAGCCAGCAGCTGTTCTGCAGCGTGGATCACTAGGCTCGAGCCGGCTGTGACAACAAACCCCTCTGGGCCTTCAGTGTTGTGACATTATTAAGGGGAGTGGCACTTGGTAGCATGTGCTGACTGCCCTCACGGCACCCAGCAGGGGCTCCTTGGATCTCCCCATAGCCTGCCCCCGCCCCACAGGCTTCCTGATGCCGCCTTCCTCTACTCCCCCGCTGCAGGCCCTTCCTGCAACTTCCCCTGGCCATTTGCCCTCCCTTGGCTCCGGTCACGCAGACGAAAAGCCGAAGGCCACAGTCTCGAGTGCAAGCACGATGTTTATTGGGGTTCCCAAGCAAACACAATCACAGATCCGCACACCAGCAGAGCAATTCCTGTTCCCCCTCCTCTTTCTTACCAGGCCTAATCAGACCCGTAGCGTCTGCCCCCGGTCTGACCCCTGACAATTGATGGTCATGTTCCGTTTTGGAGGATCGGGAGTCTGGGGGCTTCATCACCACTTCTTTTCGTACGGGGTAAGGATAGAGGGTGCGTTTTGGCCAGGGTCACTGTTTCTTTGGCTTTTAGCCTCTCTTATGCCTTCCCCTGTCCGTCCGTCCCCGACACAGACCCGTCTCTCCCCTCCCGACTGGTTGCTTGACCTTGGCTTGGGAGAGGAGTCAGGCAGCCTTCAAGTGTCCACTCGTAAGTCAAACTCCCACCATCCCCAGGGAGACTTTAACTCTCCTCCTTCTCTCGTCTCATTTTGTGCTATAAACCCCACCTGGCCGTGGGCAGATGCAACATACAGAAGATCAAAAGTCAAACAGGCAAACAAACCCCCAAATTCCATCTCAGGCTAATAAACAGGGCTAAATACTCAATGACCGTCACTAACCCCCCTCCCGGCAGGGGTACTCTGTGCCCCCAGCTCTGTCCCCTCAACAGAGATTTCAGAGCTGCGGCACGGTTACTAGGCAAGGGACAAGCTGTGATGATCACCGGCTATCTAAATCATGCTCGTTGCACTTGCCCCATCTGTTTCGTCCACCGGTTGCTACATTGTGGTCATGACTTGTTGTCATGCCTCTCGACTGTTGCCACAATTTGAGCCTCATGCTCCTTCACTTGAGTGAGTCTGTTTGCAGAACTGGGCTTTAATGAGCAACTCCCCCCTCCTTCCCTCCAAAGTTTAAGCTGATACAAAGTCAGGATGGAGACAGACTGGAGTCTCTTCTCTCTAAGCCAGAGACGTGTCCCCAAAATAATTCCACTGTGACGCTGTGTGAGTTGTTCCAGTGGTTAATTCCCTTCCCTGTTAAAAATATACACCTTATGTTCCAGCCTGAATTTGGCTAACTTCCACTTCCAGTCATGGGAGCATGAGAATAAGGCTTCTGACACAGTCCCACATAAACACTGTCATAAGCAAGCTTGGGAAGCATGGTCTAGATGAAATTGCTATAAGGTGGGTGCCCAACTGGGTGAAAGACCGTACACACAGAGTGCTTTTCACTGGTTCACTGCCAGACTGGGAGGAAGGGTTGACCGCATTTTCAATCTATAATTCCCTGGGTCCTCTTTCTTCCCCTTCTTAAAGGTAGGTTTTGTGATGGGTTCGGTCACAGAGACCCCCTTGGGACTGTCACCTGATGTGCTGAATTCACCTCTGAGCCTGTTTTCCCTACCAGCTTGGGACTCCAGCACCCTGCCTTGTTGAGCCAGACACGCTAGCCTGCTGCAAACACACACCCGGGTCTGGGCCACGCTCCCAAAGCTGCAGGGGAGTCGGGCAGCCTTCAAGTGTCCACTCGTACATAAAGTCTCGCTGGGTATGGGGGGAGTTTAAACTCTCTTCCTTCTCTTTTCTCATGATGTGCTGTAAACCCCATCTGGCCATGGGCAGATGCAACACACAGAGTCTCCACGGCAAAACAACACCCACGGCAGCAAGTCTGAGTCTGGGACTACAGACTCGTGTTTGTGCTATGGTGCTAAAAATTGCCATGTAAATGTTGTCGCCCGAGCTCGGAGACCCACCCATCTCACCGAGCTTCAGGGCAGGAAAGTCTACATGGATCTAGTGGCGTCTACCAGGGTCCTGTCTCAGGAGCTTGTAAAATTTGCAGCTGACACCACGCTGGGAAGATCACAAGCACTTTGGAGGGCTGGATGAGAATTCAAAACGACCTTAACAAATAGGAGAACTGGTCTGAATTCAACAAGACCAAGCAAGCACAAAGTACTGTACATGGGAAGGAAAAAAAAAAAAAAAAACGCACACCTACAAACTGGGGAATAGCTGGTTCGCGGGTTGTACTGCTGAAAAGCAGCTGAGGATGCAAGTGGATCACAAATTGAAGGAGTCAGCAATGGGCTGCCGCTGCAAATAAAGTGAACTCACCCCGGGGAGTCGGATTTTCCAAAGAGCCCAGCACCCAATATCCCTTCTTCCCGCACAGCTGAGCTAACTAGGGGGAACAGAGCCTCCTTGCATCCAGGGTAGCAGCTGATGCCCTTGAGGCCTTATCGGAGACAGAGGATGGCCTTGTGATAAAGGCCTTGTCGACATGGGGAAAAAAATTTTAATCATTTTTCCATGGGTGGTGGGGGGAATAAACCGCCTGGCACCCACACATGAGTGAGTCAGCTGGAACAAGGAACCACACAAACGATCATAACTCAGAATTCCGTTATTTCATCAAGAACAGATTTCCCCTTCATCACCTTGCAGACTGCCACGGGCGTTAGCGGGACCCTTCTTGTGTATTGAGGGGTGTGCGTAGCCCTAAATTTATGCCCCCTGGCTCTCCGGTTGATAATTAAAACAGAGCTGGGCCTGTCGCACAGAATAAATTGGGGAACTTTCGCATCGTATAAATAGAATGAAACTAAAACTATTAAGGGTAAAAACAGACCAAACTGCAGCTGCAGCATTAAACTTAACTATGACAGGTTTCAGAGGAACAGCCGTGTTAGTCTGTATTCGCAAAAAGAAAAGGAGTACTTGTGGCACCTTAGAGACTAACCAATTTATTTGAGCATGAGCTTTCGTGAGCTACAGCTCACTTCATCACTTTCATCACGAAAGCTCATGCTCAAATAAATTGGTTAGTCTCTAAGGTGCCACAAGTACTCCTTTTCTTTTTGCAAACTTAACTATGTAAGTAACACACCTGTGCAAGACTGCAACCAATCACAACCAACCACATCACTAAAAAGCTATTCCCATTCTTCACATGCATGTTCTAGCAAAGGCCCCAGCTGCTGGTCTGTTTTGTGTCTATTCAGACTGCAAGCTCTTCGGGGAAGGGACTTAACTCTATCTGTAAAACTCCCAGGGAAAGGGGCTCTGATCCCAAAAAGTCTCCAGATGCTGCCATATAAATTCTATTTTTCTCCCCTCCTCATTGCTGCACTACATGAGCACCTGTCGGTGACATGAGATTTGTTCCCTCTCTCATCTCATCCCATCCCATCCCTGGAGGAGAACAGAATAGGGTGTGCTGGGGAGCGTTTTGTTTTGATGGGGGTTTTGTTTTTAGTGCACACACTGGTCTGGGTACGAAATATAAAATGTTTACTCTGGCAGCATAAAGCATCTTTCATATTGATGCCAATTTTCCCTACGTTCACTTTAAGGTCCCAAAGAGAAGCAATTTTCTCTCCCTCCCACGCTGTCCCCCCTCCCTCCCCCAGCTCCCTCACACACACAACAGAGCTCACCCCTTCTCCACTTTATTCACAACATGGCTGCTAAGAACACAGAGTCACATCAATGTCGGGTGGTCAGGACCTCGAGAGCTCATCAAGTCCAGCCCCCTGCTCTGTGGCAGGACCAAGTAAACCTAGACAGACGCCTGTCAGGGCTGGTCTAACCTGTTCCTAAAAACCTCCAGTGACGGTTACCCTTAGAGTTTGTTACCCTGCCAGCTTAGACGCCTCTCTCGGGTCTCTCCCACTGGCTCCCGCTCCTTTACAGCATTAGACACATACCTTTAAGGTTTGTGTAACATCATCCCTGCAGGGCCCTCCTGGCTCCTGCCCTCGCTGGGCTGAGAAAGTCACACAGAGACCTTTAGGTGCAGTGCCCACCTGGTGCTTTTACTTACAGGCTGTGCTCCCAACACCTTTCCACCATATAAGTTGTCCCCTTCTTGCAGTCCCCCAGCAGGAGAGAGGGGCCAAGCTATCTCTCTGCTTCCCCTCACTGCCTTCCCTCTACCGCAGCTTTCCTCTTTCCAGCTTCCCCCCTGGCTTTCTTCCCTGGGACTCTTATCCAACTCGAGCCTGCTGGGGCAGCAGCTGTTCAAGCTTCCACAATCAGGGCCAGGTGGTCTACCCAGCTCCAATTCACTTCCCTTCATTGGAGCTGGAGTGACAGAGGGTTGGCGAAGCAGTTTTCTGCTTAGCACCCTGTCACAGTTCTTCTTTAGCTCCTCATTTCCTAGCAGACCTGCTATTTTGTCATGCCATGTCATTGCACTGCCAATGATATCCAGCCTTTCCCCCAGCAAGTGTCTCCAGGCTCTCCCCGCATCAAGGTATAAGACGTCGCCGGCAAAAAACAGAAAGTCCCTACAATACCTTCCTTTCGACTCAGTTCTGCTGCGACACCCATAGAACACGGCCAGCTGCTGAGGGCACTGGCCGGGGGTGAGCCGAGACTGACTGACTATGCAAAACATGCTGATTGTATTTGTCTTAAACAAAAGGGCTGTTATACAGACAACAGAGACCAATTGTTCTCCCGGCCACTGAAGGTAGGGCAAGAAGTGATGGGCTTTAATCTGCAGCAAGGGAGATTTAGATTAGATATTAGGAAAAACTTTCTAACTCTAAGGGAAGTTCAGCTCTGGAATAGGCTTCCAAGGGGGCTTGTGGAATCCCCCTCACTGGAGGCTTTTCAGAACAGGCGGGACAAAGGCCCATCAGGGATGGTCTAGGTTTACTTGGTCCTGCCTCAGCACAGGGGACTGGACTTGATGACCTCTCCAGGTCCCTTCCAGCTCCACATTTCTATGAGTCTAAGCTTAAGGCCTCTAGGCACTGCTATAATACCATGGACCGCACCAAATGCCTGCTCCCCCAACAGATTCTGGAAGGGAGTAACAGTCTGTTTGCAGGAACAGGCTCTTAATTAGGAGGATTCACAATTC